TTCTGTCATACTTTACATGCACACATGATTTTTTCATTTCTAAACGGCCGGATCGCTCTCTCTCTCTCTCTCTCTCTCTTCATGTGTGTGTATTGCATGGCTACTTTAACACATACATGCATCCGTGCAGTTGAACAGGGCAATTTCTTCACTCTTTGAAATACGAGTTCCTTTTTCATTTAGATGCACACACCCTTTCTTCGCTCTTCTTGGTTTTGGATTTTGGGACTTTTGGTTCTAGCTTTCCCTCATTGTGCTTTTCATCATCTCAATGAAAACTCCTCGTTGACAATAAAAAAAAAAAAATGGCCAGTAGCAAGTCCCCGATTAAAACACGAGTTTTTATTTCATTGATGTATATAAAACAGCATTTTGGATGGAACACAATTTTTGGGTTTCTGTGTTCTTCCAATAGTACTCCTATAACTTGGGTTACCATTCATATTATTTGCTAGTGTAGTTCTTGAATAGGGTATCTTTTGTTTTTTCTTCCAATAGTACTCCTATAACTTGGGTTACCATCATATTATTTGCAATTGTAGTTCTTGAATTTTATATTGTTATTGTTTCATTATATATATATATATATATATATATGCTCCCAATAAATCTATCCTATGTTTTGTGTTGTGACATTATGACAATATAATAAGGGTGTGGTTTGCATAGAGGCTACACTCTAAACTAGAAATCTTTGCGATAGCTTTAAGATACATTTTCATCTTTATTTATAAAGTTTAAAGCTTAAAAAATAGTGTAGATCGACATATCTATGTAAACTTGAAAATCTTGAAAGTTAACGGTCAAAAAACGCAATACAAAATACACTGTTTCCAAAAATTAAAATCACTTTTTTTTTTTTCAAGTTCATGCAACTTGATGTCGAGATGATCAATTTGAAGATTTTTGGGCATCAAAACAACCTCATTTGGTGAAATTTTTGATGTAGGCTCAAATATGATTGTTTAGAGCCTCGGCTCTATATAAACTTTTCCCATATAATAAATATTGTTGTATTTATTTAAAGGTGACAATTTGTCAATTATGACTCATGAAACTAGATAATTTTTCAAAAGTTTTAACATATCGATACAGTAAATTGCAATACATAATCTTATATTGTATTATCTTTACATTCCGACTTTTCACTCAATTTTCGTCAGCCAAATCCAAAACTTAAAATTCTCTAACGTTAATGTTTGGTAATCCATATTTTTAACCCGATTTTCTGCCTCCTACTTTTTGGAGTATAACTTATTTATTAGTACTATTTTAGTTTGCCGATATATCGTATGATTTAGACATCTAATATAAGCTAAAATGGGTTTGAAAAGGATATGCTCAGCCTATGGTTGTGGAAAGCCAAATGTCAAATCTTGCCGAAAATTGTTGATCCTAGTCCAAAGAAGCATCAAATTGATATATATCAACCTCAAAATTATGGATCTGAAAAAGAAAAAATCAATGAGTTTCAAGCCCTTAATATATCTTGGAATATGTTGTGGACAAATATTTCGAATTATTCACGCATTCACCAGATCCACACCATATCTGAAGCTTCAAATTTCACTATCAAAAGTAAAAGTAGAATTTTTTGTCATCACTAGGGTTTCTGGTGCCAAAACTGCATTTTTCAGAGGTGTTCAGCCTTATGCTATTTGCACCCTTTTAAAACACAAAATATTATAGAGGGTAAAATATGATTAATTTGGATAATAAATTTTTTTTTTCCTGTTTTCATTTAAATGAAGAAACCACCCCCTTCTTTTTTTTTTTTGGGGTTGAAACTACAAGTGATAACAAGATCCAACCTTAAGACCAACTATTTTTAGATTAATGGCAAATTATATTTATTGCAATACATCCCCTCAGGATAGATCTTTGAGAGGCTCGGAGGCTCATTGCTAGTTTGGTGTCGCCAATTGAATGGTAGTATTTCAGCATACAGTACTAGATACTGGGAGATTGCTGGGTAATGTTCCAAGTATCCTCCAAATAAAAGCCAGTGCTGAAGCTCAATATGAAGCCATTTTAGCTGCTGAATCGGAGCTAGTTTGCACCAATTCTTGCGAACTGGAAAATCTTTTACTCCAGGCCATGGACTTCTATATTCTAATAGAATTGGAGTGGCCATCTCGTGAAACATATCCCTGGAGGCACCAAACAATTAGGGCAAGTTTGGTTTGCGTAAAAACATTTCTCGAAAAATATTTTCACGTGAAAAATTCTCTCATATGGTTAGATGTAGGAATATTTTCATAACAATTAACTGCCGATTGGTGTGAAAATATTCCCACACAACCACATGAAGGAATTTTTTCTATTTCCCCAAAAAATATTTTTACATGAACAAGAAGTGCCCTTAATTCTAGCAGATTATCTCGAAAGAGAAACTAATATCATATAAGCCTACAATAAAAAAAGTAAAGGCAAATTAGATCCCTCATTTTCAACTTAAGCATCAAAATGATCTGAAGATGTTATTCATGCATTGCTAAATAGTCACCAAAATTTCAAATATTTAGCAGTTAGTGACAACTTATTATTGTCAAAAGGCCTTCAATTTTATCTCCTTTTGATGGGCAAGTATCTTATTTAGTGTGGAAACAGCCGAGTTTAAGAAGAGGCTCAGCACTACTGAGCTGTACAATGGCACTTTCAAATGATTATAAAACAATGTTTGATGAAATGCTTATTAAGTGAAGAATGGAGAATATAAACCGTTACCTGAAACATTCTGCAATTACAGTGAACAAGAATCGAACATTAAACACCTGCAGCATCAAATGTTCTTTTACTCGAGAAATGCGGAAACGAATAATTGCTAAAGTATCACAAAATAATAGCTGTACCAATTGGAAAATGTGAAACCACTCCAAATTTCAGTGAACAATTTAAAATGTGCACATACTCAAATACCAATGAACATTTCCCACTGATACAATTCCTTTGAATACTGTGGCTGTTTCAAATTTATTTTAGGACAAACGACATGGCATCATCACATACTCATTTGTTAGAAATATAAGATGGGTAGCTGCACAAAGAAAACATTCCACAAAGCTAAAATTTCAAAATAAACAAAAGACCAGCGCCCAATATCAATTGAGGGGACTTTTCAAATTTGAATGAAAAGAATGATATAACCATGCTGCACATCCTAATTTCAGTTCATACAAAGTTTGATTCCTACAAAGATGAAGAGAAATATAGCAAAATAAGTAAGTTACACTAAATAAATAAGTTACACTGGATTAGACTGGAATTGAGTTTTTAATGAGCACTGAGATGCTTACCTCTGGTGCATAGATACCTGAGGAAGGCATGTGCCTGACCATAGAAACATACATAAATTCATACTAATAATAATAAAACTAAAGGTAGATACACACGACAAATGCCTACTGAATTCACATAATATGGATCACTCAGGATTATCGCGATCTGTGCTGCCTTGTGTACTCCCATAAAGCAATGGCACCACTGACATGAACATTCAGAGACCTCACAACTCCTAATTGGGGGATCTCCAAGCACGCATCTAGAACATGGATGATATCAACAGGAATGCCTTCCTTTTCTCTCCCAAGAACCAAAACCTGAAAACAGATTTTCAAATCAAGTTGGATTAAACATATCCACACCACTTCCCAAATAACTGAAAGGATTAATATAATAATGAAGTTGAGTCTAAAGCAGTAGGATTGGAACTTACTGATTTCTTAGGGAAAGAATACTGGTCAAGTGGTATACTGTTGGCTGTTTGCTCCAAACCCAAGAGCGAAAAACCCTCCCTCTTCTTCTTCATTAAGAAAGATTTCAAGCTGTATTCTGGGACCTCTATAATAGGCACCCACTTTTCTGCTGTCACACTGTAAAACGTAGAAAATAAGATTCACAAATTCTTGCAACGGTCAAAATTCAATGCTATTATAATGTAGGATTTCTGAACAAAAACCATTTGGTCAACTAGGAGAGATGGATATCCAGGACAGCAATCTTCAGGGAAAGAAGTGTGAAGGAGATAGATTATGGAACTATGATGAGGCCAGCAAAGAGAAAGAAAAGAAACTTGAATTATCTCCAGGTGAGAAAGTGGAGAAGCAAAACTGCCCTTTCATGACTCAGCGTGTTAACCAAACTGTGTCATTTATTGGGTCACCATTGTCTCAGCGCGTTAACCCCAACTGCCTTTTATTGGGTCACCATTGTCTCAATAAGTATGGGTATGTTTGCAAAAATACCATATGTATAAGCAAGTTTGCTTAGGCATGTGTGTGTGTGTATGTGTGTGTGTGTGTGTGTGTGTGTGTGTGTGTGTGGAGAGAGAGAGAGAGAGAGAGAGAGAAGAGAGAGAGAGAGTTATGGGCAGTTAAGATTTAACATACTGATCAAAAGGAAATTTCCATCACTGTCAATCTAAGAGAATCTTAATCACTTACAAAATAAAGAATCAGTTAAAATCAACTTAAAATAAAAGGGTTTTCACCTTTTTTGGACAGTAGTGCACATGAGTAGATTCTAATCAATTAACGACAATAAGGAGTTTTGGTTTAGAGTCACAACATTGAATTTTATTTGTTGGCCTGAAAGGAATTCAAAGCATATAGTAAGGCACAATTATGTCTTGCCTGATTAGTTGAAATTGCTTATCATGCACAATGCTGGCATCTGCAACGACAAAACCAGCTGCTTTAAAAACCTGCATAGAAATGGATAACATTCATAGGCCAAATTATGTGCCAAAGAGAGAGAGAGCAGGACAAGTTCAGTACATTAATTAACAATAATGGACAAGATTCCAAACCTCGCAAGTTCTGGCTAATCCAGCAAGATTCGGAATCCGATCCAGTAAAGATGCAACAAGGATAAAATGCTGTCGACATCCTCTGATTCCTTCAAAAATGCTGTTTCTTGAATGTGCCATTGAACTCAAAAGTTCATCTTCCTTTTCCATTTCTGCATTTTCAAGTTCACAGTATCAGCACATCAAAGAGAACATTATTTCTTATTTCTGGAAAGAAACAAAAGGTCAGCCCTGTATCCAAATATCATTATTCTTTTCAAAAAAATTGGTAAATTTTTATTTTCGAAAAAAATGTAGAAGCAAGACATGGAATTCAGATCTTTGTATGTATCACTGTATCATAATAACTCTTGGAGCGTTTCCAAAAGAAAGGTCCTTGGAGCTCAGTGTAGTGCAAGAGAGTGCTTAATAACAAATATCAGATAGATTTTGATTGACCAAGTGTCCGCAAACACCCCCCCACCCAAAAAAAAAAAACAAAAACGGGAAAGAAAAGAAGAACAATTAACGCAATAATCCACGCTAACATATTGGCATCCCCAACTCAATCATGCAATCCATGATAATATGTGTGTTTGTTCAGAATCAAACTCTAGTAAGTAGTACAACATTGTGGATGGTTTTCATAGGGGATATGCACCCTCAACAAGAAAGGTAATTTACCTTTTACAAGAAATATAAAGGAGCTAACTCAACTACGATTTCATTATTTCCAAGTGAAATCAATTAGAATCTGGATTTGATAGAAAATATGGTTCTTGTGATTCAGTCATGTCATGATCGCTGTGTTACTAAAACATAGAAATCGTGGTTCTCAAGCAGAACCAGATCCCAAATATTGAGAATCAGAAACAGGGTTTAAATTTCAAGCAAGATAAAGATAGTAGAGTACTTCAGAAAAGATTTTCATATTGGATTTTGAACTTCTTTGCTTCAAAAGTACACTTAATATAGTTATATAAAAATATTCAAAATCTTTTGGGATTTTAAAGAAGTCAAATAGCAGAGTAAACTAGGAGAACCCAAACAAGATGAACAATAACACCATAAGTCCAAATTTGAAATTTGGGCTAATATTATTTATATCCTACATGCTAAATCTGGTCAAAAGCCCTCAAAAGTTCATGTCCATGTTTGGGGGTATTTTGATGAAAAATAAAAGTACCGAGGGGTAGTTGCCGTGACTGTGGAGCACAATACCAAACTAAAGTCCCAAGGAGGTGAAACCCCAGATTTCGAATTTTCGAAGGGCCTCTTGTCATCCTGAATAAAAGAAATGAAGAAATAAGACAAAACGATGGCCCACTAAATGCAATGCACAAGGTCGATAAGCCAAATAGATGCCCAGTAGGATAACTACCAGATTATTGCAGGAATCACTAGAACTGGCTATGGTCGGCAAATGCACTCTCAGATTAGGCCCAAAATTTGAAGGTCCCTACGAGGTGATGAGACAAAGCTCTCAACTAAAAAAGAAGGAAATCTGAACTAGTTGCATGCTCAAACTCGCAATGGCGGTCAAGAATGGAGCACAGTCAAACCTTAGTCAAGATGCTAAAAACGACAATCCAACCATTCTAAACTTTAATCTGAGATACTCCAAAGCAATCCAAAAAATCAAGATTTTGGATGACCGAGATATGACTCTGTAAGTTGAGAATACAAATGGGGTGCCCAAATCGGCCATCAATTTACAAAAACGCCCTAAGAAACCCGTAGTCAAATGGTCCAAGATTTATATGGAAGATCGTCAAATTACAGATAATAACGAGTGTAATTGCAAGAATCCAAAAGGAGTATAGAGTGTTCTTCAAATGTTTGATGCCAAACTCATTAAATGATCATAACACCCAATCTATGAAGTTTTTTATCCAAATTTGTCACAAAATAATCACGGCAACTTTCTAAATCAAATTCAGGAGAAATTTTGAGAAAAAACGGTTGAAAAATGCATTAAACAAGTGGGAAGCTGTCCAAGGGCATATTCATGATATTTCTCAAGTTTTGAGCACCTAAGTGGTCATTTTTTGCCAGGACCGTGTCAACTTCTGAAAACCCACCCACCTATGAGCCCCATTATTGACTTTCCACCCATGTTTCTTATAAATTCTATACCCCTTAACCCTCATTTGTGAAGTGTTGAGAACTTTGATTAAGAGCCTCTCTTAGTGAGAGAAATTCCATATCCTTCTAACCTAGAGTGAAAAACAAAGTCCTATACCCAAATTACCCTCTCCCAATTTCCTAATCCCTAAAATACCCATAGAAAATAGGAACATATCAAAAAAACCAAAAAATATTCCAAGAAACCCTAAGATCCCAAATTCCTGAGCCTAACCCCTAGCAAACCCCAAAACACCAAAAGAGGGAATTATAGCAAGGAAGGAAGATCAAAACATCAGAAAAAGGGAACTCGAATCGGATCATACTCGTTTGGTGGGATCATCTAGCAGCATCATCTAGGCGCATGGTTTCTTCGCACTTAAAACGAGCAAGGCGGGGCTAAATTTCCAACAGGAAACCATGTTGAATCCTCTATCGAATTTGTCATCCAATCATATCGACCGAGTGCTTTTCCCTCGGTAACATATAAACAGGGAGGTCTAAGAGGATCCGGCTATCCCGGATCCGGGAGACTCAGGAACCCACTCCCTTTGTAAGTGCATTCTTGTACTTCAATAAAATTGAATGGTTATCTGTTTCCTCTTGTGTGCATTTGTCTGGTTATTTTGTTTGACTGCGCAATTTTGGAGACAAAACACAAACACACAATCGCGCATGCAAAGAAGGACCAAACAGTTCCTTGTTATATTACCATCAGACAATTATGTTGTCTTTAATGTAAAAGAGAATACATCAGATACAAGATACAACCAAAGTGTGAATACATACTCCATACAACAAAGTTGTTGAACAAATAAAGCTCCTTTGTTCTAGTCTCACAATAAATGAACTATGCACGAGAAAGTCATACAATTAACATTGGAGGAATTTGAGAAAATCAAAAAACAGTTTTAAGGAAAACAAGAACGCTCAGCAGGTATGAAATCACTCTTTTTACATTATTTCCATTAAAAGATTGCATGAGAAGAATGTCTAGGAGGTCATACCTGCAAGAGATTTATGAAGGCTGTCACTTCTATAGGCTTCATTACCTCCAGTTACATGCTTTTGAAGAGTAATTTTCTTTTGAAAATCAAAAGAGGTATCATTGATAATTTGGGGAGAAAGCTTTTCATTATCGGCTTCAAAGGATGGATCCTTAGACTTCATTGTTTCAGCAACTGCGAGGCCGTCATTCTTGACAATCATCGCATTCTTTGCCATAGTGTCTCTCAGGTCTTCTCTAACATCCTATAGGATTAGATGGTTTAGAAATTAGTAGTAAATGGTTATTCTGCAGTACATCATTCTAATGGTGAAGTTAGAATATCATACTCCCAATATTTGGATCATAAAATGGCCTTAAATTGTACAACTATAATTATAAAGGAGAGGCATTTTAACTTTAAAAGTAGTATTGAAAAGATTTTAAACCCCTCCTGAAAAGGAGGAGGAAATTGTGGAAGATATACTATCATTTTAATATTCAAGCTTCGGTAACAGGGAGTTCAAAATTATAACCCCAACTCTAAAACTAAGATCAATACAACTCAAGTGCATTTCAAAGTCCAAATTATGGGAGTAGGGTATTCTAACTTCACCAATAGAATGGCGTGTTTTGGAATGAACAAATAGTAGTAAATGGATAATTAACTAGGTGATAGGCATGCAAAAATGATAGAGTAATATGAATCTCGTCATAAATGATAGCGGATGGTCTCATATACATTGGATGTATACAAGTTCAGAATGTCCTCAGGTGTAAAGTTTAACATAATAAATAAAAGGGCTGATTCAAATGTCAACCCATAAACCAACCATCACAACTATAATATGCATGTAGACAATGAACTGCAACTTCCCTGAAATGGAGATACTAATCCCCAACAAATAAAAAGAAGAAAAAGAAGTATCTATATTCTATAGAACTGAAAGATCACCGAAAAGAAGACAATGCAAGTCATGGTTCCAACTTCCAAAATGAAATATACTAATTTTTTATGATAATGCATAGAAACTGAAAGATATTATGCTAAGCTGCTCACTTAAAAAGTAATATCTACTCCAATTTGCTTGACCACCACAAGCAAAGCCATATAAGATGTGACATGCATACTCTGGTGCTGTCACAAAATGATAAAGTTCGAGATGAACATGCACTTAGGCCTTGAGAACATTAAACAACCCTACAAGATACTGCCTCAGAGGAGGTAACACCTTGGCACCTCATGTATGACCCCAAATGGAGAAGCTTAGGAGGGCTCAAGGCACCAGAGCATTGCAAAACAGGAGACTAGAGCCTTGATTCCAATAACCAAATGAGAGATCCAAAGAAAAGTTGCTGGACTACACTTCCAACTGGACCCAAGTGTTAAATGCAGCATTTATAGCCACAAAACTGACAAGAATGGATCCCACGAGGTAGATCACAATGATATTCATGGGAGTCATACTTGGGGCCTAACAACAAAAACCTGTGATCCATTGTGGAGAACTATGGGTTTGAAAAGAAACCCAGAAAAGATTCAAACAATTACAACATAAGATTCAAGGATGGGGATATCAAAAATAGAAACAGAAGAAATGAGACTTAGAAACAAAAAAAAAAGGAAATGGAGAAATATATGTGGTTCAAATCAAATTAATATGTAGCTTTTGCCACGAAGAAATTCATTTGTGCTAACAAGGGAAGCTGAAAATGGCAAATTTTTTTGATGAGATGTGTTCAAGTCAAGAAGGAAGACAGAAATCTGCTAATTACAATGAGAGGCCAAAAAATATGATCTGCATTAGCTAAAGATTCAAATTTCAGCAAGAAATCACATCACAGAGAGAGAGAGAGAGAGAGAGAGAGATTCCCATCTTCCCAAAACAGATAAAGATTTTTTTTTTAACACACTAAACTTTGTAATAGTGCTTCCAGATTAACAGAGTTTTGCAATCAAATTCCTAAGAATTCTTTGGCTAAAGGCGGAAATACTATAATCATATTGAAACACCGGATACATCTATTTATACAACTGAATCCTAAACTCTTGAATTTGGCTAAAATTTCAAGGTATTAACTTCCGACCAAACAACCCCAGTATTCAAAATTACTGTGACAAATAATGACAGAAAAATGAATGATTTTAATAATGACTAGGGAGGACCTCATATTCTGTAGCATAGAAAGATTTTAAAATGAATATGGATAGCACAAATACATGATCTTCTTCACACAGTCAAACATACATGTAAAAGGTAAAATAAAATGAAACTAACATGTGGATTGTCACCTAAAATTTGACGACGTACTTACATTTAGGAAGTTGATGACTTTCTCAAAGATAGAAGTTGGAGCACATTCAAAGGCAACATCCTACCAAAGAGAAAAGATATTTAATGAAGCATTAAATTTGGAATAAAGACAATGGTTTTTGTTTTATAATATTTAAAGCAAGACATGCGCATTTCCTTCATATTTTCAACATATAAGTATGCCTGACCTCATGCTTTGAGGAGAATAATCCTGCTGGAGTGGCCAAGGCAATAGGATCATAGGCATCAAGCAATTTTTCCATTGATGATCTAAGGCTGGACATGGTCATAAAATAATTACAATAGATAGCAAATGTCCATTAAAAAACTTATCAACTAATATTGGAGGCACAAAGCATTTGTTATCTACGTATTAAAATAGTGCATCAATGGAATAGTTCTTCCAAAAGACAAGACTTTGGTCATATTCAAAAGAAAACAACAAACTTCACATATACCTATTGGAGAATGCATGTAACACTAAAATAATCCTAACTCCATAATCTGCAATACATGAGGAGACTTGGGGATCGTGTAACTATGAAGTGCCGATGCACAAAAGACCACGATCTGGCAACCATTGTTGGGGTTTTGTGGCCATTTAAAGGCCTTATGAGAACATGTACTGAAAAATATATAGTGAAATGATGGCTCCAGTGGGAGTGTGGGCCACTTTGGACTGTGAGGCATTTCTATTGCCTAAACACACCTAAGCTTTGACTAGCTATGGCTCAATGTGATGTCCAAAAATCCGTAGTCTTGGGCACGTGTGAACACAACCGATAAGGGTTTTCTATGTGGGGTTATCCCTTGATGAGGTCGGAGTTGTGCCTAGGACAATTGGCCAAGGGACATGGACTTGATCCTTATGTGTGATGGATGGCTTGAGAGGACAAGAGCCTAAATTCTTATCATTACCAACACACAACATGTATACCAGATAGCCATTAGGGAAGCGGCCGTTTATGAATAAAGTTGTGTGATGTGTACATGTGTAGAAGAGATGACTCTCTGTAACACTGGACTGTTTGAAGGACCCATAGAGCATACTGCTGAAATGGGTTCTGGACTTGTCCTCAGGGAGGGACCCGTAATCCATAGTCTAGAATTCTATCTCCTGCACTTCATTGACTGACTTTGATAATCCAATCATGAACCTAAAATCCTAGAATCACTGACTGACTTTGCGAGAGGCGGTAGGTCATGGGATCAGTTGGGTCAGTTTGAGAAGGTGCAGTGAGGTACAGTCTCTAGAGAGGATGAAGTCCTCAGCATATTTGTCGTAATCCTAACTCTATAGATCAAATTCCCATCAAATTTTCTTAGATATGTTTAAATATATCTTAATTATTTTTCAGATAATTAAAATAAATTTTTAGACCTCTCTAGGTATTTTATTTCATTAAGAAAAAATTTTTAATTAAGGAAAAATAAATTTTCAAGATTTATTTTAATATGAAAGAAAAATAAAATATTTAGAGGTATTATAAATTTATATGTATGACGTATTTGGGGGCCCATTGGGATACATTGGGCCTACCATATTACGGGGTGTGGGGCCCACATGGCCACCCTATGTCTGGTGTGCCCCACCTCCTCTAAACATTCCTAAATTGAAAGATGACAATTATGCCATATGTTGACTTGATATTTTAGGAAACCTTTTGTGCAGAGACTTTTATTGATTTCAAAATAGGAAGGTGTAAAAAAATAATTGTGATTGATTTATTACTTTCTCTACACAATATTTGATAGGAATGGAGTTATGGAAACTGATGGATAATGGTTCCACCTTATTACTTTAATCAAGATACTTGATCTAATGAATGAATGGATGAGGTCTCTTCACTACACAGGTCTCCAAGATCAAATGTCAAGATTAAATCTCATAATGATGGCAAAATCCTAACCCTAGAAACCCTAGCCTTTATTCTATATAAACTAGCTATGGGAGAGTTCGATCTCTACACTTGACATCTCTCTCTCTCTCACTCTCTCTCTAAGCCACAAGGAGTGGCACGCCACTCTCAAAATATCTCTCTTCTTCTATTTCCAAAAAGGAAAAATAAGCTAAGGGGTGGCACGCCCAAGCCACATAGCGTAGCCCTAGGTCTTGATGTTACGCTCATGTGTAGAGCTTTGGTCAAGGACATCGCATGTTATGCTCTTTGCTGGTTTTGCTTAGGCTTCCCAAGTTATGAGAGAAGATCTTGAACCAAGATATCATGTACTATTGGTGGAGAAGACCCAGTGTGGGATGTGTTAAGTCCTTGGGGGTAACCTAAGGCACGGTATAAAGTATTCTCTTGGTTTATACTCTCTTTATTCCATTGCATCTTTTCATTTCCAGATTTGTACTTTTTGTTTTAATGGCAAGCAATACAATAAGAAAATGATAGAAAATTTTAATTGGTATTAACTTGCCCGGTTACATAGTCCACCTTTTGACCACGTGTTGTGATTTAAATATGTTTTCAAAATAGTGGACATGGTATTCTGTTATCTATGAATCATAATATTATAATTGAGAGGCATACATAGTATTAGGGGTATTTTACAGTGTATGTACATAAAAAGCAGGTGCACGTGACTCAAAAAGGTTTGCAGATATACATCATTCCTTTATGGCAGTTTCAACATTAACCTAATCAAATGCAAACCCCAATCCCAAGCAGGCTTTCACAGTACATACACATAAGCTCACAATGTCACTAGTCTTGCATACATCCATATGAAAAGCATCATAAAAGTTGCAGAGGAATATACAAAACTGTACCGCATGCAGTCCGAGTTCTCTTGCAAATATGATCTCAAACATAGGAAGCACTTTTTCTCCATAGAAATGGCTTCTGAGTTGGTCGGTACCGATGAAGGCATCAACTTGCAAAGAACTTGATAGACTAATATCTACGATTAATAAAAAGAAAGGAACACACACTGATAAGGAATGGCCTGGTAAGGAATTGAAAATTGTAGTAGCATCTAAGAGCAACAGATGCATCACCTGAGTGAAACCACGTAAATTATGATGATGAGAAGTTAATAATGGGATTATCGGGGGAAGTAACTCATCCAAGTGTTTTAACTGGACGGATACCTCAGTAGTATGAAGGATCACATTGGCTGCAATGAAGACATATGAGGAAAGTGCCTGCATTAATTAAACCAAGAACTTATCAACACACAAAGAATGGAAAAAATAAAATAAAAAATTATATATATATATATATATATAAAAGAAGGACTAGAGAATGGAAGTACATTACCTGAGGCCGCATATTGTGATCTTGAAAAATGGGAACAAATTGCTCCCGGATCTGGGACAGGCAATAAGCAACACTTATTTAAGTTATAAATGAGAAAAGATAATAAACACACACAAGATTTTCATCATTCTAATGCACAAAAGGATTTGGCATACTTCAACAGAAAGGCTCTTTAGGTTAACCACTTCATCATCGATGAAAACATATCAGATGTCAAGGTTGTTACTAGTTTGCAACATTATTCAGATGCACAAAGGTTTTTGCACCTGAACTTCTTGGCACATCTTTCTCAGTTGTTGACGCAGGTCGCTGGAACACATTATAGAAGCATATAAACACTAGAGGATGACATTTTGCTTCCCATAGCATGGAGTTGGCAAGAATTTTGCCTTATTTTGGGAAAATGGATGGTGAATTCTTGTTGCACAAGGTGGACACCATTTTGAGAGAGACCTTTTTAGAGGTGTCCTTAAAAACATATCTTAAACAAACTGCAAGTAAATGCTAAGATATCATAGCAAAACCTCACACACTTGTTCTCAATAAGGTATACAATAAGGGCGACGGACAAGACATTCTCATTGAATGAAACAGACAGCCAAGACAACCTATAGTATGATACATCATTAAAATGTCTAACCAAAGCACATAAACGATACTAACATACAAGATATATCCACTTTTTTCTATTTAAAGCTGTAGAAGAATTTCACCATCCAGTCTCGATCCATCAGAGGTTCAGACGAGTTCATAGCAGGCAGCCAGAGGGCCAAGAAAGATACAACATACTTCTACAATCTATGATAACGTGGTCCACTTCTAAGTAGCCTGCAATATTGAGGGAGTAGACAACACTCACAAGTCTTCATAACCATTGAATCAGTTATCACAGTTATGAAGAGACATCTACTTCGGCTAAAATAATAATGGTTGAGATGTTGCAGGCGTTTATTTCCTCTAACATGCTTATTTGAAACCAAGGTTAAAAAAATGGATTAGCCACCTCAAAAACCGTGTCGAATCGATGAATTGGCGATCTGGATCAAAGAATCAGGCGGATCAGCAAGTTTTGGCTCAAAAATATTTTCAAAAAATCGCTAAAAATTCCTAAAAAAAAAACTGTTTTTTGAGTTTCCAAAAATAATTAGAGGTAGTGCATTATATATTTTTATTATTTTACAAAAACTCGTGAATATTGGGACATCCTCTTTTCTTTCTATCTGAAATGAAACATGGATAACACGATATATGTTACCACTACGTCCTCTTTTCTTTCTATCCAGTGATTAATTTTTTGTTTATACTATATATCAACCAAAGCCCGCTCTCCCACCCCCCCACCTCTCTCTCTCTCTCTCTCTCT